GCAGGGGGCATTCAGACCCCAGGAGCGGGGCTGCTGTGAGCTGTCGTTGTTCTAGCCAGACAAGGGGGTGAAGACCAGCCCTCTCTTGAAAGAGCACGGGAAGGATTACAAAGGAGAGCGGGCTGTTTGGCTGACGGCAGGGAAACGAGTCTGAAGGTTTCAGCCACGCGAGTCTGAATTACGCCTGGGGCCAGACTGTCCTCTTCCACACACCCCCCCCACCCAAAGTCCAGCTCTCTTTCTCCCTCTCTCTCATTGTGCTGTAGGGTCCATCTTTCACTACTACGATGCCGGCTCCCCTGTGGTGCCCCTGCCACTGGGCAAGCATGGACCGTATGGGCAGGGTGCGATTGTGGCTGCCTGGCATGGGTCCCACCCCTCCGTTTTCTAAACCGCTCTGTCCAACGCCAGAGCCCGTCCCAGCATGCACTGGGTGCAAGGCAGGCTACGCCCCGGACGAGACCCCAGTCCACCGCCGGCCAGGCGCACACACCGGCACCGGGACTGACGTTCCCTGAATCCTAACAACGGGGGCCCGGTTACAGCAATGCCCGAGGTACTTTCTTGAATTGAGGTACTCCCCTTGGCGTCGTGCGGCCGGTCCGAATCTCTCGGTTTCCCCGTGAATGCAGTATTGTCCACAAGGACCTGTGACCTGTGTCTGGACGGGAGCTCACCGCGGGCCCTTATGCTCATTTTTAAAGATTTTCTGTGATGGTTGTTACAGTGATGACAAGGGCACAACAAACGTCAGGTGAGATGTAACCCCACCGAGTCTTTTGTCACGATGACGCTCGTCTTTGCGATGTTGTGTATTTTTGCGGTGGCGTGGCAGGTACCGTCATCACGGGGAAATCGCTGCCCAGGTGATTTAGCGCGGCTTCCTGTGCGATCGGCTTCGTGCTTTTTGATTGTCGGGAGACAAACAGAGTCGGAATACAGCCGGCTGCGTGTTTGTCTGAGATACCGCTCGTCCTCCTTTCTGCTCGGTGTCTGAATTGCAGATGAGCCCGGCTGAGGCCTGTTTCGCATCAGATAGCATTTTGTTCATTACACGCCTCGTTAATTTAAATGCTAATTGATTTTTGATGTGTCTTTTGGCCGCTGCGTGTTGGTTTTTTTTTTTGCTTGTCCTCTCCCGGTTCTTCCTGCCTTGAGGGCCGAGCTCTTGCCGACTGTTTTTATCTCGGCGGCAGGGTTATACTTTGAAATTGAAATTAGTTTGGACTGGGGTGCGAGCGTGCCTCCCCCCGCCGGGTGCACGCCGAGATGCATTCGGGTTTTGCCACGCGGAGCTCGTGGCCACTGACCGTCCGGCAAGCACAGGGCTCGCTGGACACGGGTCAGGGCCAGGACCGGGCTGGGGAAGCGTCCGGGCCCTGGACCGAACAGTGCATGGTTGCTAGGCAACAGCAGGCCCGGATAGCGGCAGATAAGTCCCAAGATTTCATTACCCCCCCGGGGGGGGGGGGCAGAGGATAATAATTGAGACGCGTGAGCACCCCTCCCTGCGAAGCTCCCCAGCTGGAGAGGGCGACTGGAGGAGGCTTCAGCGCACTGCCACGTTTCCTCCACAGGGGGGCCCCGCCGAGAGAGGTCGGTTTACCTGTCTGGCTCCTCCCCCTCCCCCGGTAGGAATCAGCAAAGCTCCCCCTTGTGGCTGTCGGGGTGCCGTTCCCCTGCTCCTGCCTGTTCGGCCCACCTGACCTCGGGCCAACCCTGTGTTGAGGACCCTGTCTTTGTTGTAGGGTGCTTGGGTCTGGGGGTCCTGGGCAGAGGTCCAGCCTCCCGAAGGGACTCCCTGGGTCAAGCGCGCTGATGGCCGCCGTGCTGGAGCCCAGGGAGGGGGCGTCTGGCTGGAGGGAGGCCAGAATGGGAGTGATAGTGGACTGAGAGAGACATGAAAGGACAGGCTTTCAGACAACCAGCAGCCCTGAGAGGAGAGGGGAGGGGCAGTGCACAGGGCCTGCTCTCCAATAACCAGCCTCCTCCAGGGTGATCACTGTTTCAGAGAGGCTGCACGACAGAGCTCTTCAAAGAGCCACGGCCAGTGTTTTTGATTTTGACCAGGGATATCATAATAATAATAACTGCTTACACTTATATAGAGCTTTTCTGGACACTCCACTCAAAGCGCTTTACAGGTAATTGGGATCCCCTCCACCACCACAAGTGTGCAGCCCCACCTGGATGATGCGACGGCAGCCATAGTGCGCCAGTACTCTCCCCACACACCAGCTCTCAGTGGGGAGGAGAGCAGAGTGATGAAGCCAATTCATAGATGGGGATAGATATACGCAAGACCAGATTTCTGCAGAATGAATCACTGGGATTTTGAGAATCCGACACTGGGCGCCTGGTTTGGGGAAAGTGAGCACTAATATGGAATTTGAACAGCTGGCACGAAGGTGTAGACTTTCCGGTGGAGTGAGTCAGATGTGTTTTTTTAAAGAAAGGCAGTATTGGACATTTTCTCGGAGGTGCCGACACTTTTCTCAGCGGAGGTTTGAGATGAGTCCAATTGGGATGGAAGTGCCCGTTTCCAGAGAAGAGTGGAGGAGACGCACACGGGGTGTATCTCCCACTGCGGCCCGAATCGCAGCGGTGTTCCGGAGGGTCAGTGTCCGAGTCCAGCCTTGGCCATCCTGTGTGTCGGGGCTGATGAGTAACCACTCCACTGATGGCCTAGTGGCTCTCCCTGATGATGCTGTTCCCGAGGTGTCACGCGCAGCAGCAGGTGTCTGTGTAAAGTTCTCTCAGGAGTCGTGTAAAGGACGTACAGATTCCATCCTTATCTAAAAATAACGTTTGCACTGATTGATAACATGAATGTGCTAAACGCCTTGTTACCGCTGTGTTTGAGAATGTAAAGGATATGTAGTCTGCCCTCTGTAACGGACACGGGTAAACGATGGGATTGCAGACCTCAGAAGCTGTGCAAGGCTGGGCCTGGTCAGTACTGGAGCAGGAGTTTCAGGTCAGTACACAGGGACACTGGAAGTGCTGTTGGTGGAGCTTTTCCCCTGGGGCAGCATTTACAGACCGTTGCCCCAGCATGGTGACCGAGGACGTTGTGCTTTAGGAGATTAAACATCCTGTGACGCTGTTGGTAGGAGTAGGGAGCTTTCTTAAACTCCCCCTCTTTATTCCAACACGATGTTCTGCACAGTGGGGCTGCTGTGTGTCACCCCAGTTGGGGACTAGACTTCAGGACTGAATGAGGCGGGTCCCTTTGTCTTTGTAAAGTACTTTGCAATCCATCTGAGTGATACGTTGTTGCCAATACCAGTATTGGTAGTACAAGCTGCAGTACCTAATTTCCTTCACCAGAGGGTGGATCAGTACAGCTCTGTTTCTTGAAAATTAAAATAAACTCCATGCAGTACATGTATAATAATAAATTCATCAAGTCATATCATTCCCTTATCTATCTGTATAAGGAAATTGTGACTGAAAGGCTTACCATACTGCAATTTATAAAAACATTATTGTTAACAATTAAAGTCTTACAAATGAGCAGTAGAAAATATAACTATACAGGCCTACAGATACTACATTTCTACTTGTGTAGAATAACACAACCAGATATGACTGTGGGGAAACCATGTGGAAATAAACACAGTAACCTGATATGTAGAGGAGCAATGCTGCAAATTTCATGAAGCACACATTCTTGTAAGGAAAGGACAATAAGGC